TTTGCACGGCCACTGGTTCACCCGGTAAATTCAATTTACTATGGGCGGCTCAAGGGTCGTACAAATACAAGCAATACAATTTGGAAAATTTGAAATGGGTGGGACTGGGGACATATACGTCCTTGTATACTACAGATCTACATGAAGTGTACAATATTATGTAATTTTTTTTAGAAAATTTATCGTCGTGTTGAGTAGTTTTATTTGAATTTTCGAAAAACCCTAATAATTTTTATTTTCTTATTTATATGTTTCTTAGGAATTATTTGATCAAAGGAATTTGAATTGCGATACAATAAACCGCTTTCTGTAAGTTCTTTTTTTTGAATAGTTAGAAATTTGAAACCAAGTTATAAATGATTTTCGGGAAAAATAAATATTCATGTTTTTTATCATGTATGGACTGTTGTAAGGTTGATACGCTTTTTACGATAAATAATAATTCCAACACGAAAACAATTTTAAAAAGTTTAAAACTTTGTTCACATACCTATACTTTTTTTTCATGTTATCAATAATATTTTGTTTCGATTATAAAAAATGAAGTTTCCAGTATTATCAATTCTGTAGAGATTTAACTAAAAAATCCTATGGTATTGTAGAATATATTTTAACCTATGAATAGAAAGGAGACGGTACCTCACAAGCCTTGCAAACACTCCCTGATGCACATACCACGATTGAATAAAAACATATTTATATATAAAAANGCAAACACTCCCTGATGCACATACCACGATTGAATAAAAACATATTTATATATAAAAAAAAAACGAATACGATTGAATATCATTTCTTATCTCCCGGGTGTAATTTGGAAAATATGACTCGGCGCCTTTTATAAGAGACAGAACGCCCGTGGTATTTTATATACACGTTTAATATGAAACCGTACGTAAACGGCATATTGGAAGTCGTGTCGAACGCCGCCGCCCGAAAAATATCGCTTTCCCGCTCGCACCCGCCCGTAGCGTTACAATCGCGGTCGTAAAGTTGCTGCGCTGTCTCTCGCAAAATACAACGCCGCCGAAGCCGCCGCCGCCTCCGCACATTATACGTTTACCTGACGGCTATATACATGCGTAATATTATTATCACGTATTTTGGTGAGTTCGATTACAGGCGGCTGCCGTTTGGACCGGTATGGCGGTATTGTAGTAGTTAAAATATTAACAGTAGGTACCTACTACTTTATAGACACTACCTATAGTAGTAGTAGTAGTAGTAGTAGTAGTAGTAGGAGTAGCGAAGTAGTTATTTTGATTTGTTCGTCCGCAATTGTTGTATCGCGTGTTCAGCAGGACGTCCAAACATACTATCCATTATTACGATATTACATGTATTATTTATATAGTATATATAGGATTCTATTCCTCGGGGACAAAAATAATAAAATACGTTTCGTTATATTTTTTTTACAGACGTAATATATCGCTTCACGTATTATAGGTATATCGGGTATATATATAGATGTGTCCGTTTTAAAATATAATATGTTTTTATTATTCTCATACATTCGGGTTCCGACTCCTGAGTAGATATTATACTAGCTGCAGTTCTCTGGAAGCTCCGGGCGATGAAAACGACCGCTTGTTTGTGTGATCCGATGACGCTCGCCGACGGTTTGGCTGATGGGGAGGGGCGGGGGATAAAAAGAAAAAGCCGGCGCATCGTAAACCACGTGTCCCCGACGTGACATCCGCCTTGCGTGGTGGACACTGCGGCTGAATAATAAGTATAGTATACCTATACATTATAATATCATTGCATAGATCTTTCAATCTTTGAATATGAGTGTTCACAATATTTTATCTCGTTACGACGGTAGACCAAAATTGTAATACTTAGTAAAGTGATGGGCGCACGTGGTCAAAGGGATTCACTCAACATTGCGATATAGATACCTTAAGCTGCTACCTAAAGTGTTACACTCAATGTCAAAAATATAGACTACTCTTATAGAGCAGTGGTTCTCAACCATTTTGAGTTCGCGACCCCCTATAACGATTAATAATAACGATTGCATGTGAACGTAGTACCTATAATGAGTAGTGCCAGAAGTGGACTAAAATTCGTTACAATAATAATTATGTAAATTGTTGTTTTTTGTGTACAAAATAGGTATGGTATTGTACTATTTGACATTTGTATTAAATACGAAATATATAATGCAGCATTGTTGCAACTCACAAGCTTATTGAACTCGTGGTTAATGGATTCTATTTCGTCCATTGGTCTTAAAAAGGCAGATTCCGATTTAAACGTATACCTATGAACACATAAGGAAAAGTTCGTCTATTAGACTAGAGTACTTAATGGGTTCAATGTGTATTTTTAAGGGTATATTTCCACATTATTAAAAACATTTTATTGGTTTTATCACGTCCATGAATTTGGCCCACCGATATTATGAACATATGAAAATAAAACCATTTGAAAATACTGTTCATTTGCGAGAATTTGAGAGTAACTTTTACATATTTTACAGGAGAGTGGGTCAACTCCATGTAGCTACCGACTTCATCCGATTTCGTCGAGATTGGTGATTTAATGATGGCAAAAGCTTTATTTTATCGCATATATTTTGACGATTAGTACTATTTATTCTCAACTCATCACATCTAAAAGTATTTAAGTTATTAAAAATAATATTTTACACATTATTTGAAATTACTATAAAACAACATTAAAAAAAATGTTCATTTTTATATATTTTTTTTCACTATGAATATATTATTCATAATATATTTATTAGTAAATAATCATATTAACATTTTTCAAAATTCATGATATGTATCTTGTATGTCTATTTATTCTTAAATCTTTCGTCTTATTGATTCATTCGATTAATGAACTTAAATACGCTGGTCCCGAAGTGAGTCCAATATAAGCGGCGAGCCGGCGACTATACTGTGTATATAGTGAGGTCTAAAATATTATATTTTTTATTTACAGATTCCAATGAATACCGGTGGGGTGTTGAAGACATAGTCTTCATATCTATTATTGTCAATATTAATATTATGTGAGACTTAGTTTAGTCTCCCGATAAATTATGATATCCATATATAATATATATAATATTATATACACTGCTTGCATCTAAGGATAAATTTCAAAAGTCGATAGGGAATTAACGATTCCCAGAATAACCAATATTCGGCGTGGTAATTTCCAGTCCATTAAAGATAAAAAAATCAGATAAAATGTAAGATTGCAAGTGGTGGAACATAAATAAATTTATTAGTAATATAAATTTAGATTTCATAAGTTACCAGCAAATGAAATAGAAAAATGGTGTTGTACAAATAAAAGTTGTAAAAGTTTAGTAAAAAAATTCAATAAAGAAATTTTAATAAGCCAAATTCATATATTTATGATATTAATCATAAACGAGATATTGTATTTGAGTTACATATACAAATATGTCTAATACAAAATCCTTAATTTTCTTAATTATAAGCTATTTTGTGAACCAATGTGTGTTTGGACGGGCCGCAATCGGGATACTTATAT